CACGATCCCGTGGTTTACGGGATCGAGCCCCACGTCGGGCTCTGTGCTGGTGGCAGAGCAGGAGTCACGGTGGGGATGGCAGATTGTTGGGATGCAGACGGGAGAAAGATTTTGACCAGAGGAAAAGGCTGCTCTTTCTAATCATCACTAAAACTATAGGAAATTCAAAAGAGGCCTTCCAGGATCTGGTGACGGTGAAGTGGTTCCAGCAAGCCCTGGAAAGTCATCTGGTGGAAATCATGTAGAGGGTAAATTTAGATATCAGAGCGTAAAGAACTTGGACTAGAGGACATTATACTCTTGTGTAGGATGAATGCATTTACACAGTTGTTTGGCAAATGTTTCTAGACTACCGGTTACACACCACACATGATAAAAGAACGCACAAAGAGGGTGCCTGGGTGGCTCCGTCGGTTAAATAAATGTCTGACTCGATCTCAGCTCGGGTCTTGGTCTCAGGGTTGTGAGTCCAAGCGCCATGTTGAGCTCCGTGCTGGGCATGAAGGCTACTTAGAAGAAGAAGAAGATGATAATAATAAATAAAACTCAAAGACTAGACAGACTTGGTCGCAATCGTGGATTCGCCCTTTACTAGCCGCATGAACTGAGTCCGTTTTCTGACCTTTTCTGAGCCTCCCCTACTTCACGTGTGATAATGGAATAGCGTGACCTCGTTGGGTATCTGGGAGGATTACATTAAGAAACATACAGTGTGGAGCACACAGTGTGGAGCACACAGTATGTGTGTAGACACACAGCATGTTTGTTTTCTCCCTTTCCTGAATCATGTGACTTGAGTAATAACCCACATTAGGATCTAATACTTAATGACTTGGACCTTAGACACACTATTCCATGTGATCTTTACTGATCATTTGCAAAATGAAAATGGCAGCACCTCACGGGTCATGATGACCGTCATACTTGAGGTCATGGGGCAGGCCCAGGAGAGGTTTTCCTTTCTCCCCCCACCCCCCCAGCCACCCTTTCTAGATCAAGCCTTTTCAGTGGGAGCAACACTGCCCCAAAAGGGACAAAAATTCGTTTGTCCCTAGGGAATGAAAAAGCGTACCCTTTTTACGTAAAGCACAGATACACACAGTATATCTGTGACGTCAAAATTTCATCAGGGACAGGGGGAGGAAGATGAGGAAAAAATAACTAAATAAGATGCTTTGCAGGGGGCCATGGGGGCATCGGGAGAAAAACATGGAGAAGCATTGCTCTAGAGTAGATCTCCTTGCTAGACTGTGCCCATCAAACCATTCGTGGAACGGACCCACTTCTGGGAAGCCAAGTGCCTGTGGCTAGTGGTCTTCCTTTACGCCTTTCTCTTAACCCCATAGGGGAGGTCTCCATTTAGTCTCCAATACAGGCACCGAATCCACAAAACGTTAACAACAGCAGAAAGACGAATGAACGTATTTGGGTCTGAATTCCGGAGAGTGCCCCTTGGGCACGGTTTAAATAACATTCGTGTTCTTTTTAATTTTCTGGTTAGGCCCCTGTGTCGATTACAATACGGCTTAACACCAGGGTGCGTCGCTTCGCACATTCTGTTCGTCATGCATTAAAAACATGGTCGAAATGAGAACTTTGCCTCCATAGTGTGGCGTCTGTGATTCTATGATTTTCAAAACCACCTTGGGCACAATATTGAATCCTGTCACCTCGAGGGAAGAAAAGCATTTGAAGGTAGAAGCCTTTCTGGCTCTTAATAACATACAGCATCTGTAACGCGAGGGGAAATTCAGAGGTTGGTTTTGGAATGAATAAGCTCACGTGCAGCCTGCTATTTAAATTCAGGAGACAATACCCCCTGGTGCTGGTGCCGTAAGATAATGGATGATTTTTGCACTCAAGAATCTGAATCCCAAAGCCGCCTTGGATTTACACATAGCGGTTAGAGGAACATCTGTATAAGAAAATACCAGAGGACAGCACAGTGCCTTAGAAAAACTATTTGCCAATAAATCTGCTTTTGATGGGCTACTAAAAAATGGACACATCACGCATAAGAGATGCGTGTGTCTATTACGGAGGCTAGCTTTGTGTGCAATGACAAGCTTCCCCTGGCACACTGAGATAAGAAACAGCAGTCCTTGGTGTCGGCACTCCTGCAAGAAATGAAATGATAATTTGGGGACACACGTACAAGGGTTACCATATATTTGATCAACTTTTGAATATATGCAATACCAGAACCATCTGGCAGCCCCAAGCGAAATTGCCCACAACCTTTGAACAGTCTCTCGAGAAGGAGCCCTGAATCTAATCACGTAGAACCTTCGCCGGACTGTGTGTTATTTCCAAAGCAAGCAGTTCCAGTGTGTTTGTCTGTGGTGGTGACGGGGCACAGAAGGAATGGGGGAAAGCCATTGTCATTTCCCCCCCGTTTTTTTGCATCAAGGACATTTTTTTAGGTAGGAGATTTGAGGGTTTCTAATGATGACTGCAAAGCAGTTGCTACGTGCATTTGTAAACTGTGAGTCAAAGCGGGGAAAACATCTTTCGGCACAGAAAACTCACTGAACTTGACCATTGGATTTATTTGATTGCTGCACATAAAGACAAACGGCTTTTCTTATTTTAAAAACTAAAAAAGTAACAGTTTATACATACAGTTTCAGGTCCAATAAATTTTCATGCTCTGTATGAAAGATTGGCGGTTGAGAACTACAGTGATAAACGCTTCAAGTTTCATGTTGATCTGGAGCTTAGAATGTTTTTGGAATATTCTTTTTACATCTTTCACCTGTTTAGTTTAAGCATATCCTAAGTACTCCTCCGGCATTTGATTGGTTTTTTTTTTTTTCTCCTTTTAATGCTTAAGAATGCAAAGTCAACTATAGATATTCAGTGGAGGGCCAGCCATGAGCTCAGCTGGTCATCACTGCTTTTCCTCCGTCTCTGGCTAGATTTTCTGCTTGGAGTTTGCTCCATGAGAGCCCTGCTCTGGAAGAGCCTCCGTGAGCCACCCAGGCAACCAGTAGACCTCTCCAAGCACACTTGTCTCTGAGAGATACCTCAGTATGTTCCAGAAAACCCAAATGGACTTTTCTGCTATCAGGGGACATCCACAGCATCCTCCCAAGCGGAGTTAATTTGGGGACCATTAAAAAGATAAAGAATTGGAAAGGAACAAAGACAGAAATGGTCAGATTCAGCCCATAGACACCTTTAAGGAAGGAAAAGCCCTTGTTTCTCAAGTCAGGCGTTCACAGGCTTGGCGATACAGTCAGTGAGAGCTGGGGTGGGTATGCTGAGCAGACAAGAGCTGGGATTCCTGGCTCTCTACCCCGTTTCCTCCTAGAAAGAGAGCTTAGGTTTTTAGGTTTCCATAACATCAGACTCTCCCCAGGTAGGTCAGGGTGTCCGGCCTAAGTTCTTAGATCAGATCTTCCTTTATCACCTTATCAGGGCGAGAGAGCTGTATCCTAGCGAAGAAAAACAAACCAAAGGAGAGTAGGGCAGATAATGAGAAAGGCAGAGGGGGTAAGAATAGAAAAAGAACTACTGAGTGAGATTGCATGCGAGGGACTCCTTCGAAATGGCAGATGAAGGTCTCCTCCCCGCCCCCCATGTTAAAAACCTGTCCACCAGAATGAAAAGGCTTAATTAGCAGCTAAATACAAATCCACGTCTTGTATCTTTTAAATGACGTATCACCAAGGTGCCAAGCAGAATGTCTGGTTGAAGGTTGGGTGATTCAATCCATCCATTACTCTCTATAAAACAAAGAATCTGTGCTTTCATTACCCTTAAATTGTCTGGCAGTGGGTGAAGTTAACTTTTATTAGGCGCTGTTCTTTCATATTATACAGTGTAGTCAAGGATATATTAGCTTTGACGTTTTCTTACATCTCAATATACTGCGGCGTGAATTTACTGTGAGGCTAATTTAGAAGGAAGCTTTTCAGAGGAGGAAATAATGGTCAGCATCAGCTATGCTGCAAATTATAAGCAGGATGAAAATTCAGGGGGAAATGGACATCCGCATACAATCGCTAGATGTTAATAAGCGTGCTTCTTATATGTGTATTCCTGATGATATTCTTTCTCTCTTAAAACTCCAGTTTTATAAAAACTCCATCCTGGGGGAGGATTTTAGTGTTGAGGAAATGGTATAGTTTATCCTAACATGATTATGTTGTCTTAAAGAAAGAAACACCCATCGGATCAAACTCTATGTAAAAGGTGTTCTCAGAGCTCGCCTTTGGGAAAGGAACCCCCCCCCACCCCCCAATGATAATTTAAGCACTTAAAATACAATTTAAAGATGATTGATCAGACTAATACACAATAAGGTCGTTATAAAACAAATTCCCAGTATGTGAAATTTAATTTCACCTACAGGATTCATCATTCATCACAAAAGTTTTATTACACTCTGGTATCGGGGGCCATTCTCTGACTTTGGGTTGTTTTTTTTTCAATAAGATCATGCTGGTTGGCTGATGTTTTGTGGCACCAATTAAGCATATTATTGGTCGATGAAATTGGATCGTGTTTAAAGCAAACAAAGACGAAAACAAGCATATGAGAATGAGAAGTGTAGTCTTTTAGCTTTAAGAACTTAAAATGTAACTGTATCACGCAGGGACGTTTGAGTTGTTAAACTAATAAAACCCAGTCAATCAAATAGTAAAAGGTAGTGAGAAGCAGCAACACGAAGTGTTATAAGAAAAGCACCCAATGGAGACACGTAAGAGAAAATCCGTCAGCGACTCATTCAGTTTCTTATCTGTTCTATAGGTTTAGCGCTGGAACGGAGTTGTTTGTTTTTTTTTTCCTTTGCATTTATCTTTGTGCCTGAATGAGTTCAATTTCACTTAGATTAGGACAGAAACTTCAGAACAGCAGGTTAATCCGTCCTGTCTTCATGGGCAACTGAGCAAACAGACCAATATCAGTGTAAAATTGTAATTCTGGAGATTAATGTTGTCTTTCCTGTTTGTGGTGAACTTGACCTCCTTGCCTTTTTTTTTTTTTTCCTTCAGCTTCTGTCCAGGGTCCCTGGGAGAGAGCCATCTCGCCAAACAAAGTGCCCTACTATATCAAGTAAGTTGGAAGCATCACGTTCCTAAAGAAGCATTTATTGTGGCTAATCTGCATATTCACAAATGGATTTATTTCTACATTGTGACTGACGTTAACCTGGCGTACAATACCTACTTCTCCATCCCCCAAGGAAGCTTGGAAAGTCAACTCGCGCTAAAATTACCTCTGCAAATGTGCTGATGCAACAGAGAGCTGCCTTTAGGAAAAATCCATTTACTGCAGCCCGTTTCTTGTGTGTTGTGATTGGAAGTGGTGTGGCTTTTCCACAATAGCACAAAACGCTGCAGATAATATTATGGATGGTGAGAGTGAATAGTTATAAGGACAGTTTCATTTGTTTAGGGGTGTTCACGCATCTCTTTTTCAGCCAAGATGGATGATTTCGGCAGCTGTATGTACACAAAGCGTTTCAGGTGAATAAATACTTCATGGACCCAAAAGGCAGTCAGCAGCAGGCCCGGATTTGTGTAGCTGAGGTGTTCATTCTTGACACATAGCACTCAGCATTTTTCACAACAGAGTCATACCGTTCTCTGGGGCCATTTGTGTCCGTCACAGGAATACAGGTGCTTAGAAGCACCTTCTGTAGGATGCATTGTGAAGTACAAATACATTGTACATTGACTCAATGATTGACATTGAGTCAATGTACATTGATACATTGGGTCAACACGCAAGGGACAGGAGGGAGGACAGTGGGTCATTATGGCACCTTAACAGTTTCTCGTTGATTATGCGATAGAGTTCAACTTCAATTTAACTTTGAACCTGCTGGTTCAATAATTGAATTTAATCGCCTTCGTGAAATAACCTTCAATACCAGCTGAAGGCTTTCAACCTGCTTCCGCCATGAGTCTGACTAAAAATCCTCCATGTTTTCCCATTGTTCGGGTCTGCCATCTTTTATCAGGTTGGCTTCTGTTCTTCGGCTGCCCAGCGTTTCTTCATAATTCAGTTCTAAAGCAATCGCAGCAATCCTAGATCTTCATGACTACCATTCTCCGGAAATTAGATCGCATGCCTCACTTTTGTTCACTCAGAAGAATGGGGGTGAGGGAATTCTTTGGGCCATTCAGGGAGAGACACATCCTTTAAGGAAGTTGCGTCTTATTAGATTTTTCCCGACAAAGCATCTCTTACCTTTAAAACCTCTCCTTCGATTTGCTTTGATCCCGCTTTTTATCTTTCTTATTTTTAAATTGTATTATGTTTATGCTGTATAATTACCAATTCGGTCCCCTTACGTATTTTAAAGACCTATTTTAAATTGTGTGTCTCATTGAATGACAAATTCACTTAGACACGCGCTGTATGGCTTTACATCCACTGTATATTTTGTGGAACCATTTTGTTCAAACTCTGCCCAGTCCTCTCCGGTGTCTTGGTCAATCCCACATTTTCATCTCTAAGATGTTTGGGACCTGCTACTTCTTCAACCCATTTGTAAAGCTCTCACTTTATCCGATTCCTTTATGATAGATGAAGAGATAGTCCTTACTGGATAGAGGTTCTTCTTTTGTAGCATAGATTGTGAGAGCACCTGAGAACCCAAAACATCTTCAAGTGATTATTCTCCAGATTATTACTGTTTGGGGCTTATTAAATATCTCACAGGGATTCCTAGGGTCTCCCTACCCACTGTCCTTTCCCTAAATATTTATCTTCTCCCCGATGCTATACCCAGCACAAAAGATCCCGGTACATTGCTGTGTGGCAGTGAAGATTCATTCAGTCCAAAATTAACAAGACAGATTCCCCCTCATTGTCCAGGGCTCCTTCACTGGCCCAGATCGGGGAACGTGAAAACGTGAGGTCCAGTCCTGGCTCTGTCATGAGTTGACTGTGTCGCCTTGGGCAAATCACTTGCCCTGTACAAACCTTAGTTTCTCATTCAGAAAATGAGAGGTTGGACTAGGTGATATCTAAGGTTCCCTGTAGCTCTAAGAATCAATGAGTGCGACTCATCAAATGATTTTATCCGAATTCAAAAACTTAAGATCTCAGCTTTTCCTTAAGAAGTTATCTTTATTTTTTAAATTCTCTAGTTTAATCATTAACATAATATGAATTCTTATTTAAATTCTCTTTTTCTTATAGCAATTCTCTTTTTCCATTGTTTAATTAGCCGAAGATATGCCCCCTCAACCCATTCCACTTTCTCCAGGTACCCATTTAAAGACATCAAATCTTGGTGTTTAATTTAGGACTGTCATTCTTCCTGATTCAGTGGTAAGAGACATAGAGCCCCAGACAGAAAAAAATAGTAGAAAAGGGAACATGGACCTTAAAGCCTCTGAAATGATCAGTTTCTAGGAATGAGGAATTAGGTAATTTCTCAAAAATACCTCTGAAACTTTATGGAGATCACTTTTCTCTAAAAACTAAAATCTACTGGGGCACCTGGGTGGCTCAGTCGGGTAAGCATCTGACTCTTGATTTCGGCTCGGGTCATGATCTCACGGTGCGTGGACTCGAACCCAGCATTGGACTTTGGGTTGATATCGTGGAGCCTGCTTAGGATCCTCTGTCTTCCTCTCTCTGCTCCTCCCCTGCTCGATAGCTCTTTTTTCTCTCTCTGTCTCTCTCCCTCTCCCTCTCTCTCTCCCTCTCTCTCTCTCTCTCTCTCTCAAAGTAAATAAACATTTTTTAAAAAAATTATAATCTATTGGAAATTAGAGATTATATAATTTCTCAACTCTACCTCTAAAATGTTAAGCTAATGTAGGGAGAACGCATGTTCAGAAAATACACATGGTCAACAAACCGATTATTAATGTCATTTGAGATTCATTATTATACACTACTGTTGTCTTAAATATTCTTTTTATAGCAAACTACTTTGATGTACAAGGTTCAGTGGGCTTGAGGCACTGGCAAATGGCATTTGCAATTCGAGATGCCTTATTTATCCACAAATAACAATATAGTAAGTTTATAATGATATTCCTTCACCCAGTCCCCACCCCATAGTTCCTCTTTGTTGTCTCATTTGTCTAGACTTGCATTCAAGAGTTTTAACCACCCGTTGCCAGGCACAGAGCCAGGTGCCTTCTCCGGATCTTTGTTTCATACTTAATACTTTTTTGCTTTTCAACGCTGGGATAAACTGATCCCCTAAATAACCGGAGGTTTCTGCACCAGTAACATAATTCCAGTTGGGTGTTGACTTGTGCACTCACGCTTGAGGTTGTAAGTCACTACCCGCGTCTTGGGCTCTAGATTGCAAGTCAGGCGGTGTTTGTGACTGCATCCCGACACCAGCTTTTCGTATGGTGCTAAGAATCTCGATTTCGATACTTCACCCTACATGTCTGTCTAGTTTATTAGTCCATGGCATTCGTCATTGTTACAGTTTTCATCGTCTCGCTCCCTGGGGGCTCTCTTACTCCTGCCAGCGTCTCCTTCAGGTTATTTGATTACAGCCTTCATTGCCACTGAAAAAATAATCGCCAGCAATGTTCAACCTGTTACAACTGCCTTTTCCACTCTCCGCCATTTTGTACTCTTTTTGGCCTACTGTCAAACTCATGAAAATTCCGATATAATAGCCTTTAACCAGCTGCTGCATTCTGTTAGGATTTCTTTCACCTTTTTATGTTGCATCCTCCCATATGGGTAAACCACATGGAGCCAAGAGCTGGGACTCTCTTGCTTTCTTAATGAGTTAGAAAATGATTCTTCTGTGTTCTTGACTGTCAGAAGAACTCAGGAATCCCAAACTTGTGTGCAGTATGTTCCTGCAAAGAAATAGCACACTGGGGCAGACCGACAGGGCAACTAGCCCAGAACTCGGTCCCACATGCAGACACCAGTGGCTGTCTGCATCATCAGCCCGTTGGCATTGGGTTTATCCGGTGGTTTCTTACACTTTTCCCCTCTCCGCTTCAGCCTTGGCTTCAGAAGAGTAAGGTGCATAAATTTGCTGATTTCTACTTAAAGAAATAAAGGTAGATCTCAGTCTCTCTTCAGTCTGCATTTTTTAACCTCAAGTGCTGTGGAATTCAGTGAATACAATGATATTTACCCAAAGTAGACTTTTTTTTAATGTTTATTTATTTGTTTTGAGAGAGAGAGAGAGAGAGAGAGAACAAGAGCGTGTACGCATGCATGCATATGAGCAGGGGAGGGGCACAGACAGAGAGGGAGAGAGAGAATCCCAAGCAGCCTCTGCACTGCTGGTACAGAACCTGATGCAGGGCTCGATCCCTCAACCCTGGGATCACGACCTGAGCCGAAATCAAGACATCACGCCCAACCGACCCAGCCACCCCGGGCGTTTTCCCAAAGGAGACTTCAGCCTCACATCCCCTTACACCCCCTTTTCATTTTCATCTTCCCAGTCTGAGAAATTCTAATCCTTTTTTAGGTTCTTAGTCTGTCCTTGAATGACAGGCAAGTGTTCCCCTTGATCGTCTTAGTTGCTTCTCCCTGGATCTTTTCCAGCTCTGTTACGTCTTCCTTGGGATGTAGTGACCGGAGTGGCCCAAATGTCGGTTATTAAATTTGTTAGCATTGTCTGCAGTCTCCACTCACTCATGAAGAAGGTAAATGCTGTTCGCTTTCTCTCATTGGTGCAGAAATGGAGAAACCAATTGAGGTCATAGCCTCTTCTACCTATGTTACTTCTGACTATAGTTTGGTTTGCTACTATTTTTCTGTGACACCGGCTGAAATGTTTGACCTTATATTTCTGCCAGCCGGCCCTTAGGAAGGGTTTGGTTTTTAGACGAGCGGGTCCTCTCCTCTTTTAAAGGCACTGCTGTTTGTAAAGACTGGGAGGCATTCACTAATGAAACTCGGTAGAAAACCTGCTGACTCAGTCGCCAGTAAGGCCTGTCAGCAGGTTCCCTTCCTAACTATCACTGAAGCACTTCACCGAAGAGTGAAAAAAGGGTTCCGGGAAACATGCTAACTGATCAGCTTTTTTTTTTTTCACATCCAACGCTCACGAAGCAACTCACGTCCACAGGAGTGTCTCTCTCTTCCCGCTGGTTGTTTTG